TCTCTCTCTCAGCTGTTCATCAGAAATATATTTATACTCAGCTCTCCCACATACATCCAAATCGTCCGCACCCCAACATTGTCTCCTCTTAATTTTTTTTCATCGTTCCTGTCAGAGAGAGAAGAGAAGAGAAGAGGTGAGAGAGAGGGAGACTTGTGAGAGCATGGGTTCGGAGTTGATCTACAGGGGACACGAGTCCCATCCGGCCACCGACGAGTACTTTCCCAAACCCCCCAAGCCTTGGCTCAGCGTGATCCGCCCGATTCGTTACATGCTCCGGGAGCAGCGACTCATCTTCGTATTCGTCGGCATTGCCATAGCCACTCTTGTCTTCGCCCTCCTCCCTTCCTCCTCCAATTCCCCCTATTACAACACCGGGGGCGGTTACAATTACAATCACGGCGGTGGCAGCAGCCTGGAGTCCATCACATCCCGGTCGTGGAATCCCCATCGGATGGCCTACCAGAACCAGCTGGGAGGGTTCAATTCGGGCGGGAAAATTCCTCTGGGGCTGAAGAGGAAGGGGCTGAGGATCGTGGTGACGGGTGGGGCCGGGTTCGTCGGGAGCCATCTGGTGGACCGTCTGATGGCTAGAGGAGATAGCGTGATCGTGGTAGATAATTTCTTCACGGGAAGGAAGGAGAATGTGCAGCATCACTTGGGGAACCCTAGATTCGAGCTCATCAGGCACGACGTCGTCGAGCCCCTTCTGTTGGAGGTGGACCAGATCTACCACTTGGCTTGCCCTGCTTCTCCTGTCCATTACAAGCACAATCCTGTCAAGACTATTATATCCTTCTTCTGCTACTTTTTTTTTTTTTTAAATTTCCGTCTAGAGTACAGTAATTGTTCTATCAATTCAAAATATCTCGTGAATAATGCGTTTTCTGGAATTGGTCGCTTAGATTGATGGGTGTTACTTGTTCTTCCGTTTTTTTTCCTTAATCTAAATTTTTTGGTTGGGGGATTTCACAAGACGAACGTGGTTGGGACTCTGAACATGCTGGGACTGGCAAAGAGAGTGGGAGCCCGGTTTTTGCTAACCAGCACCAGCGAGGTGTACGGCGACCCTCTGCAACATCCACAAGTCGAAACCTACTGGGGCAATGTCAACCCCATCGGTATGTACAAGACGCCCTTTTGCATTTGCATGTGGTTGGTTGGTTGTACTTAGCTTCTACAACTAGCTGTTTTCATTTTGTTTTTTTTGGTCCCCTCCCTTGCATGTGCATGACTTTTCTTCGTCTCTTTTCTCTCTCTTTTTTTATTTTTTATTTTTTTGTTAGTCATTCCCCACCCACCCCCAGCCCTCTTTTTTTTTTGCCCTTTTGGGGAGTACTGAAGGGGGCGGGGCAGAACAGACGGCTCCTGCTCACGTTAGCATTAGCTAGTAGGGATATGACTAACGTGAGCCTATTACTTCCGTTTGGGCTGGAAGTTTTTGAAATGTCTTGCCGGGTGCTGTGAAGGAGATGTTTAGGCGGTTTGATACTTTGATGATGTGGTCGAAAAAGATTTGTCGCGTGGCTAAGCGTTCGTCATTTTCGGGTCCACCAATCCGACTTCTTTTGTTCTTTTCTTACTGTCTTCTTTCTTTTCTTACAATCCGGCCCACCTTATGTCAAAATGACAACTCTCAAGTCGGAAACTGACGTCTAGCCTTCTTACGACGCCGCCCTGCTGCGGCCCCCCCCCCCACCACAAACCCAACACCCAAACCGAAAAAAGAAAAAAAATGAAGGACCAAATTAAAATACGAAAAATTGTTGGTGGTTGTGGTGATCTAATCTGAGATCTACCTAACGCATGACTAGAGATGCATCTAAAATTCAATTGTATGTAGTTGGAGCTTTTGGTAGGTTCATTGACGAACTATTAAGCTGATCACAGGTGTCCGAAGTTGTTACGATGAGGGAAAGCGGACTGCTGAAACGTTGACAATGGACTACCACAGGGGTGCCGATGTTGAGGTTTGTTCACATTACCATTCAACTGCTTGCTAGTACTACCGTCTGAGTTACTTGCTATGCTACAGCATGACACTGGCACCATGTGTTTCTTACTTTCCCAACCTTTTAATTTCTCCAGCTACAGTAATTTTTTTTTGGTTTCTCCAACTACAGTATTTTATTTCGCATTAAATGGTATTCGTATGCTACGCAACTTTGGTACCATTTATTTGTTGTACTCCTCGACTTGTGCTCCCATGCTTTGCTTGGTACTATTAATTTTGCAATACACTAGGATGGCACTTGGACTAGTACCGTAGCAATTCACTAATTTAAGTTGGTACTATTTTACATGTTGGAATATATGTATTGCAAATGTGACAGGTGAGGATTGCTAGGATCTTTAATACCTATGGACCTAGAATGTTTCTTGATGATGGTCGTGTTGTCAGCAATTTTGTTGCTCAGGTCCCTTTCTTTTTCCTTCTGTTTAAAGATGATTGTTTTTAGCTCTTTCAATGCCTTCTATTTTCAAATGAAGTAATACATTGGGTATCATCCGGATCATGTTGCAGGCCTTGAGGAAGGAACCATTGACAGTTTATGGTGATGGGAAACAGACCAGAAGTTTCCAATACGTTTCAGATCTGGTGAGGAGTTTCATGAGGTTTTTAACACTTGCGGATTTGTGTCTGTTTCTTCTTCTTTTTGTGGGATGGCAATGTTTCCCTCTTTTACTAGTTTCAGAATTTCTTATTGTTTTCATTCATTAGACCTTATGTCCAGTCGAAGATGGAACCAGAAAATTTAACTTGAGGGGGTGTGAATTTAACTTTTCTAAACATAAGTGTATGACATATGTATTTTCAAGTTTTTGAAATGGCGAAAGTTTAAGATATTTACTTCTACAATGAAGGAACATGTGTTTCTCTAAAACTTGGGGTCGGCGGCCCCTCCCTGCCCTCTAGCTCCATCTATGAGTGCAACAAATTGCGTCTTTGTTGCAGTTGCCTTCTGCATCTCAAACATAACATCACTCATATCACTCCTCTTAAGAAGCCTTCATTTTCCTTAATGCTCTAGCCTTTTTACGTTTTCACTGGGTCTGCAAAATGCAGAATGAAAGATCGTGTTTAATCTCCTCGATGAAATGCAGTTTAACTACATTGTGTTTACTAATAATCAGCATACGTGAATCAGACGCGCGTGCGTGTAAATATCAATGTTTCAAGGATAATCAGGTAACAGGTTTATAAGATGTACGCATTTATGTAACTGATTCAGGGTAAACTTTAATATCTTTCTTCTAAGCACTCTGGACAATGTACATCTGGTAAAGTGGATGGTTTCCCCAAATTGTAGATGTCACGTGTGAATGTGGACTACTGGCTGATCCCAGATAATTAATTGTCACGTGTGAATGTGGACTACTGGCTGATCCCAGATAATTAATTGTGATACTGTTGATAATTCGCTTCCTTCTTTATTATTTCTTGGCTTATCTTCTATGGTATGACCTTGTCATTTGATTGATGATGTTAACTTTACCAATTTTTTCTGCACTAATACCATCTTGAAATTATTTAGAAAAAATTTGTTGGTGAATCTTTTGTTTCTTTGAATTTCAAAGGTTGAGGGTCTTATGCGCTTGATGGAAGGAGAACATGTAGGGCCTTTCAATCTTGGAAACCCTGGTGAATTCACCATGCTCGAACTCGCTCAGGTATGTTACTTACTCAAAATGTGGTGATTGTAGTACTGAACTCTACCTTAATCAGCTCGCTTCTTTGACATGTTCTTAGTACCCTTTAATAGCTATCAGAAAAATTCTAGGCTTCTTGAACATTCACATGGTGGAGGACCTTTCATTGTACAAGGGGAACACATTGTTGAAACTTGGATCTCAAATTTCAAGAGTGTGTTTACAATGTCCAAAGTCTCACATAGATGAGATTAAAAGGGCAAAAGAGGCCTTTTCTGTTACAAGAAGCTTCCACGTTTCGAGTATTAAGGAGATTGTGTTTGTGTGGGACCTTTTGGCATGAGTTGACTGACAAATATGTAGAAGTGTAAGGTGTAAGCACCTTTGGAGAAATATGCATGTTATAGGAAGATGAAGAATGCTCCCATTGAGTTCTACCTCTAGACATGAGAGCACTATCCTGTGGATATGCTGGTTGAATCTCTTGACAACTAGAGATCAGTTTTAGCTGATTCTTACACGATTTGAAATTTATATCTTCACCTTTCCAATTTTTTTTTTTTCATTCATTTTTTGGGAGGTCAAATCTTCATTAAAATGGTAATGCTTTGCACCTAGTGTTGGTGTTAGTACACGTGCATCTTGGTCTACACTGTTAATTCCATGAGTGAATCTGGCATGTGCAGGTGGTACAAGAAACTATTGATCCAAATGCTAAGATTGAGTTCAAGCCAAACACAGAGGATGACCCGCACAAAAGAAAACCAGATATCTCAAAAGCGAAAGAGTTTCTTGGTTGGGAGCCCAAAATACCGCTTAGGAAGGGTCTTCCTTTGATGGTTGCAGATTTTAGGCAACGCATCTTTGGTGACCACAAGGAACATGGCACCTCAACGTCGTGAGTTTCAGCAGAGCGCCTGTGTGTTAGTGCTGGACGAGACTCTTGACAGAGGGAAATATGCTGGACGAGACTCTGTATTTTAGTGCCTGTATGCTGCTTCGTGTATCCATGCCTAACTAGTTATAGTCGGGGTAATGGTGGCAAAAGTACGATCCCCTTCTTGTCGCTTCGGTATGGTACCTTAGATGTGATGTATGTCTTTTCCTGCATTTTTTGTAATTTTAAGTGCCCTACTATTGATGCTTTTTGTAGACCACCGCTGCACAGTATCTGCATCAATTGCAGCCTATTTTTTCATGCTATTGCAATAGCTAAATTCGAGTTTGCTTCTTGTACACTATTTCTTTTGGCATCCCTCCGGTGGGTGCGATTGGCATTTTCTTGATGCCTGAATTTCCGCCGTTCCCATTTGCAAGCTCATGCCATTTTGTTTCAAGTTGTTCGTATTTTAGTGGATAGAATGCAAGCGTTACTTTATAAGTAATTTCTAAAATATAGAAAAAACAACCTAGATCTTAAGACATAAAAATACAAAAACGAAAACTGGGTGTCTACAGAGGGGACAATTAAGACTCGGGTGTTTAACAATCAACTCAGGTCGAAGATGGTACCAAACACGATGTCCGTTCAAACATCTAGCTGCATTAACCTTAAATTAATCAAAAACACTCCGGCGGGTTCCCCTTTTTTTACAATCCAAAATGCAGAGAGTTTCGATCCCATCTCAAAAGCCTTCTTGTATGCCATATAGCCTGACTACATCCCTGCAAGCCAAATTATAAGATCCAAGTGAAGACAAGAATGCAAAAAGAATAGAAAATAGGATTAGGAAACAGCAAATAGAGGATTCTTTTATGATAAATCAGCAATGTGAAAACACAATATGGATATTGATACTTGAGATTTGAATTTAGCACAGCATAGAGTTGAAGCATTGCATCACGAAACTTTAAACTTAACAACAATACCCCAAACTTCCACAGTTAGCATACGGATGTAAAAGCTAACATATCTCATGAATAAAGCCCCAGAGCTTGATTCACACTGTTGACTTATCATAGGTGCGTAAAAATAGTTCAATTCAACCCATATGAACTACCCAGACAGCAGGGAAAGAGAGGAGTTTGGGTAATTCAACAACTCCACATTGCAATTATTTATGTGCACATAAGAGACAAGTTTTCTTGCGATTGGGTAACACTCAAATTCTAACTAGGGAATGAATTCCCCTGTAGTGACCCAATATATTCATAACATTGCAGTGGAGAGAGTGAAAGAAGCGGAAAAGGCAGATGTAGTTAGATGCAAACACATCATCAAACAACATCATAAAAGAGCCAACAAGCTATAAAGGTATCTGAAGATTAAATAATACGTTAACTTCTATCAAATGACATGGAGATAAAAAGAATTAGCATCAAAACAATATCAGGTCATTGACTCCACTCCCATGCAACCTACTCAGCACAGACTCCAGAATCTAACTGATAATGTCAAGCATATAACATCAGAATCTGACAAATTCTGGTTACCAGGTCCACAAAAGAACAGCAAAGAGCAGTCGCTCTATGAAAGATGAACGCACTCAATGAATCATCATTATCAGCAAAACTGCACTTATCTAACATATATCAGCTAGACTTACATCTATTTCATATGGTCAGGATGCACATTCTACCCAAATTAGAACACTCAATAAAATGCAAGAGAGAAGAATTACCTCTCACTTAGGGTTCCTAAGAACAATAATCACAGAATCCCCGCGAAGGAACATTTTGCTAATAAACCTGTCTTTGTTGACGGGTAGAGCTTTTTTCTTTCCTTTCCCAGTCTTGGGCACCTGAGCAGAAACATTGTAATGGGAGTGAATAAATGCGTGAACCAAATTGAAATCAAGTGTTCAAGACAGCGTGGTACTTTGAGAAACAAACCGACCTCAGTCCACATCTCCTTAACATTTTCCAGGACCATGTTGCAGTGACGATCAAAAGCCCTCACACGCCCAAGGAGTTTCCTATTGTTCCTACAGTTGATAAGTACCTGGTCATGAAACAAAATTGAGAACATAATATGAGGAATCCAGACATTGCAAACAAGTACAAAGATTCAAATCAGCTTCAATGCTCATCAACTGTTTCTTGGTATGACGGTTTTGAAATGAAAAATGAAGAATAATAAAACAAAATGTGCTTTTACTTTTAAGAAACAGTTAAACAAAATGCTTATATCAGTGTAAGAACAGTTACTCCAATTGGTTGCACTACTTCTCCCGATGTACCTGAGTATTGTTCTTGACACTCATCATTAAAACAGAAAGAGGTCCTGTGTTGAACTCCTCTTCCTCATTCTTTCCCTGTCATACATATGTGACAGCAACATTAACAGCGTTTCATGCATTTTGCAACAATCAGATAAGCTAGAATATTTTTAGAAGAAAAAGCACTGGAAACTTGAGTGTGATGCAAAAATCATGTAAAGACGTGCAAGATGTAAAGGCCAAAATTTCTAAGTTATTAATACCATGGACTAGAATATCTGCAGCAACCAAGATGTACTTTAGTGAGGCAGGATGGAGGAAGACATTAATGCAGGCAAATGTCGCCTGTTGAATTAGTAAAATCAGAACAATGGCTTTTATCATATTTGTTTCTTGCAGTTTGCTTATTTTCTTTTTCTCCCAAGGCACAAGGGGCAGGACTGTCCTGAACATAACAAAAGCATGCTTTCAAAAGATAATTTAATACACTAAAGCGTTGAAATCCAAGGTACTATTATCAATTTAACTCAGATTCTATTATTGAAAGAACCAAATCATGCACCTTATATACTTAAAGGAAACAAAAAAGAAAATCTTCAATTCTGGTTTCCTTAAAGGTCTTACTTGCCTTTAATTGGGGCTTTAACACAAAGGAGCTGACAAATTGAGATCGTCATCCAAACAATATTTCTAGTTGAATAGCATCAAAGGCAATTGCCGATAAGGGAATGTAAGAAAAACTTCGAAATGGCGTCAGCTTTCCAGTTTGTTAAATTATGAAGGCAGCACACTATATGAAATATGAAAAATGAAAACATAGACACCACAGCCATCAAAACTATCAAAAGGGCGGCAACCAGAGAAGCAACTACTGAAACCATATCCTTCTAGATTAGATGAACCAAACAAACAGTAATTCTAGACAAAGAAGCAGAAGCCTATAACGTACAGCAAACAGACCATCAAAGTACTAATAATGACCTTGCAGCAAACATGGAAAGACTAATATGCAAGGACAATAAGAAAAAAAGGTAAAGCAGACTTACAGGGACGTCCTCCTGCATTGGCCCACTGCAAAAATTAAAATATAAGTAAGTAAATAAATAAAATTATCAGTAAACTCATCAGAAAAGAAGTGATACAAAAATGAATAAACCGAAAATAATAGACCTACCCACACTACTATTATTTCAAATAATCGTTCACTGTCACAGAATGAAACCGCGCATATGTATTAGTACCAAAAAAATATATAAATGTATTCGAGCCAAATTGTCCTGTCAAAAGATACATAGAAAACCTCCACGCCTACATCCATCCCCTTTGTGGATTAATAACTAATACCAGTAACAGTAAAAAGCTTGTGCAGACACACATACAACCGCTAGAAAAAAAAAAAAAAAACCACAAAACAAGAGGCGTAAATTGACGAGCGTCTCGACTAACCTCATTTTTCTGAGATCGCAGTGATGATACTCGGATAATAGGAATTCTGCAAAAACAAATACTATATTACTAGCAAAAAAAGCTAGGGTTAACCGGCAACAAAAATTCAAAAAAAAAAATCGATAAGCTCTCTAGGCGAAGAGCGAGTTATAGAAGCAGAGAGGTAATGGCGTAGAAGATTTTCAAAGGGCTTCGCGAGCTTACCAGTAGCAGTAGTAAGTATAAGGATGTGGGTTTTGGTTGATAAAATAGTTTCTTCAAAATTGAAACTCAACCACCGACTAATATCGCCTTCTTTCTTTCCCTCTCTTATTATTATTATTTTTTAGGAGGGTTAATTTGAATTTCAACACTAATAAACCTTCAAGTGCCACTCCCACTTACTTTTTTCGTCCCAAATTATTTATCACATGTTCAAATATTTCAAAATAAAAAATACAACAAAGATACAATAAAAAAATATTTCAATGAGATGGAAAGAGTATTTTTAATAAGGATATTATTCTCTACAAAAATGCATTCTTATATTTCCTCTTTGCAAAATCAAATATGATTGGATGTAATGGTCACCTTATGTGAATTTTTTTTTTTTTTTGTCAAAAGTTACCTTATGTCAGTGGTGGTCCTTATTCTGGCATATTTTATGCCTGTGCTAATACTGTCTAATTACATCATTTAGCATTTAGTTTTTTAAGAGTTTAATTTAATGGCTTGGTAAGTTTCTTGCTTTTTTCTTTTTGTTTAAACTATTTTTAAGTTTCCGATATTTCTTTCTCCAACTTTATTAGGACAACGAATAATATTACATCTATAATGCATTCTTAGGACAATGTATAATATGTTAAAAGTAAATATTTCTCATAACCTTTAAATGTCTTTTATTATCCTTATTGATGAGAGTAAGGAGTGAGTTTTAATCATGGGTTGAAGGATTGATTATCAAGTTACCGATTGAAAACTATAGAGCTAACAGTAATTTTTAAAACCTCAAAGGAGGTCAGTGAAAGTGTGAGAAACCTCAAGAAAGGTTTTTGAAATTATCTATATATATATATATATATATATTATATTTAACAATAAAATGAACATGGGATCGAAACTACAATAAAATGTCAGGGTGGAGTACAAGAAATTATTATTGAAATCCAATTTTTTTTTTTTTTGTTAATTGTTATCGTTACTTTTACTTCTATTCCTACTTAACTAGGGAGATGCTCAACTGAGCCTACGGGAGACCGATGGGGATAGAATCACCATCGGATCAGACGGATGCACTACGCACCCGTCTACTTCTACTCCTATTCTAACTAGGGGAGGCTCAACTAAGCCTATGGAAAATCGATGGGGACAGAACCACCACCGGACCAGACGGGTGTACTACGCACCCGTCTTGATTTGAAGAAGAGCCACAGGAGTGGCATTTTGGTGGGAGGCAACACCAAAGCCTTAAGGATTTAGTGGTGGCCACCAGCCCGAGAGAGCCGGTGGTTATTATTGAAATCCAAATATCACTAGCCATTTCTTCAATTCTTGGTACCTTTCATACGAGTGCCCATAAAAACTGACCAATCCCGTGAATACAATTTTAGTTTACTGCAGAAACACTGATCTTACCTAATTTGAACAGAGTTACTGCTCAGATGTTGTAAATAAAGTTTGAGAATTGATACAGAGAAATTCAAGTATCATCATATCATCTTTAGGGACGAGAGAGGGAGAGAGAGTGAACACGTCCACCCTCAAACTACATCACATAGACGAATGATGGTGGTGCATGCGACGTCCCTTCCACCCACACAAGTATTTCCCATGCGTACTTGTTAGTCTGTCTGGGCTTCGCACCTCTACTTTTTCTTCTACTTCGACGGTTGGCAATGCGATTGTGTTCAACTTCTCCAAGATTGGGCTATGCTGCTGCCGCTGCTGCGCCGCCGGTTTGAAGGTTATATTCTGCGTGCTGGAATCAAAATTGGCTGCTGCTGCTGATGATGATGATCTCTTGTCGAGCCACGCTATGATGTCCGAGAACACAATCTCAATATTAGAATCAGGTTCTCCCGATGTCAAACCATGCCACATCCCTTGATACAATTTTATGGTCTTGTCTTTGCTGCTGGCTTGCTCGTATAATGCCTTGCTCACTTCAGGGTCCGTCACTGTATCTGCTTCGCCATGCAACACAAAGAATGGTAGAGTCACCTGTTGATGATGTCACACACACACTGAATTAAATCCACCCACAGCTAATTAACAACATTTTAATTACTGCAATCAAAGCCAAAAAATTACTAGCTAGTACTAGAAACAATGCAGAAGAAATTGACCACCTCATGCAAAGTACCCTCAAGGGCCAGGCTAGTTCTGAGCATTTCCAGAGCTGTTTTCAACCTGGGCTTCTCTTGGTATATCAGCTCGTTGCCACGAATCTGCACGATATCAAAGGCAGACACCATCATTGCTCCTGCTATCTGTCATAATACTCTATCTAGAAATCAAGTGTTGTAGTAATTACTAGTAGCCTTAGCGTGGAATGGACATTCTTTAATTTTTCCCTTCAGTATCAATCGTCTGTCCCACCCATTCCGTCGATGTTGGAAAGAAATAGCCATATATGTCCTCCTTTTACTGGTATTTGATTCAGTACAGATGATTGATGAAGAAAAAGCAAGCTGTTTGCTGATTGGTTGTAAGGATTGCATTTACCTGTTCTCGTTTAAGCGGGTCCTTGAAAGCGGAATCAATGACGTCTTTGGTGGGGACTATCTTCCACCTGGGTATGAAGTCTTCCACTTTAGTTAACACGCTTATGACCAGCGGATGTGGCTTTACCTTCTCAGAAATCTGACAACGTCCAAACATTACATACTATTATAAATGAGAAAAGCATTAATGCCTGCATCAGCTAACTGCTAACTACTTATTAGGTTGGTCAGGGCTTAATCTGGATTCATCTCTGATAAGGTCCCTAATGCCCTTAACGATTCAAAATTTTTTTTTTTTTATGCATAAATCGACAGAAACTGAACCACCGTCAGATCAGACGAGTGCATCACGCACTTGTATGGATTTAAAAGAAGTCACGTATAACTCTTGACCTCCCACCCTATAATTCCATGTGGTGACTAACTTCTCTAGAGGAAGTTGGATTTAACGAGTCACATTTCACAATTCTCTTTTCTTGGGTTTTTTTTTTTTTAAAAAAAAAAAGAAGAAAACTTCCACCATCCATTCTTGCAACGTACTCAAATTTTCTGGACTGTTTGAGCTGTTCAAGTGTCCATTATACAATTAATTTCAGCCTTTGAACTTGGAAGATCTTTTCCCAGAATCAAATTACCTCTCTGGATGAATAAGAGATAGTACTATTAAAACCCCATAATTTCTACAGTTCACCATGCGAAACATGAAAAAATTCCTCCTGCAACGTTACTTATTACCTTGCACATGGGCGCAACCAGAAGAGCACCGTCCCAAAAAGCCCTGTCCTTCTTGTGCACTAATAGAGCTACCGCCCCTCCCATTGACTCTCCGTACAAGAACCTTTTCTTCCCCAAGTACTCTTCCCTACCTGATCCCACAAAATAAATAACAGCAGCCATCAAGGACTTAAGCCATGGTTATCATTTTCTTCTCTTTTGTTCTTCTGGGCATTCATTTTCCTCACCGTTTTCACGGAAAAAGGTTGCATAAAAATTCAGTCAGGTATGATAACTGACGCAATGCTAAAACTCGGAAGGGGAAAGTGGGGTGCAATTAATTTAATGCATTGTATCCTAAAAAATTTTGCTCTCCAGGCCGTCGGAATATTAGGTAACTTACAGCAAGCGGATTTGAAGAAATGAGAGCAGTCGTTGACAATGTCGTCGAACTTTTTAATGTAACAACGGGCACCCGCGGATTTTCCATGGCCTTCGTAATCAATTCCAAACACGCCATACCCGTATCTTGCTAGCTTGCTCCCAACACCTAACCACATGTATCAGCAACCAATGAAATTATTAAGATCACATAAATCAGTGCCCCTATATATTAAAAAAAATATATATTACAACCATGGGGATTGCTCAAGTTTTGCTGGCTCATCCACGGCTGGTTCAATTACCAACTTGGATATAATTAATTGAAGATTCAGGTTGCCATATTTCTCCATCCACAAAAGATTTTCCCCCTATTTTCTCCGCTTCTAGCCAAATTTAACCTCGTACCCACTGAGTTTTCGCTCAGTGGCCACCAAAAAGGGACTAAAATCACTCTTTAGGCTGTGGATTAGGCGTTCGAAACCTACCTGCAATGAAAAAAATTCAAAAGAGATCCCAAAGTACCCCTTTGATTTAATAGTTTCTGATACTTATCATCTCCTTGTACATAGGTTCTTTAAGTTTCCCTCCCCTTTAGAATAGGGGCTCCCGTGCTCTCTATATTAAGATAGATTAGATTATAGAAATGTCATCGTTATTGTAAATAATACGACAATGTGGCTCAGGGGGTGAAGTCAAGACTGAATACCATATTATGTTAGGCATGTGCTTCCCATTAGTGTTTGCTAACCTAATTAACCAGCGCCATTTTCAGCTTCAAATCTTCTGTTCAATCTATTACTTCAGGCATGCCATTGACCCAGTAGAATACGACGTCATGACGTTCCATGGTTGTCAACTATTTCTTCAGCAGGCACTCTCAACATTTCCGATCTTCAGTTGTTTAACCAACTGCGCTATTCAATCACTGTACACATAATTTGTGAATTTTCATTTCTTCTAAATGTTTCTCCGCCAATGTGACTGCTTCTAGCAATTCATATCTAAATTATTTTTTATTTTCCGTTATTTGTTGAGAGAAACAGACAAATTGTTGAAATTAAATCCAAAAGGTGTGTGGTAGCGCAGCCCTTTAGTCTTCAGAGCTTCCCTCCCTCTAACTCACTTTAGTCTAATTTGACCCTCCCTTAGTATAATATACTACCAGCTTAGGAGTAGTACAAATCTTAACAATTCACCCAAGAAAATTATCAAAAAAAAGAAGAAGAAGAAATAGAGAGGTTAAAGCCCTCAATGACATGACACGATGCAGCAACACCCCATGCCACGTCCCCAACTATGTAGCAGTAATATGTGATGGCGAAAATGCAAAAAAAAAAAACCTCAAAAGAAAATGAGAGTTGTAATGTGGCTGTGATGTCACATGCAGAGGAGGATAAATGGAGCGCCGGGGGGGATGGGCATCCATGCTGTGCTACTTCTGTTCCTACACTACTTTTGGTCCTACTTCCTTGTTCCTTTTTAAGCATGAACTGTTGCGCGGACTGCAATATGTACCGAGAAGAAACATGAAGAAGAAAGGAAAATAAAATGCAATTCAGCAAGAATCAATAATAAATTCCCCAAAGTTAAGAACCCACTGACTGACATCTTTGCTTGGCCAACTACTTCATCGCTCATATGTTTCCCGGTCTTGGCTCTAAACCATTTGTGGCAAGTACTATTAATTACATGCTTTACTGCTGCAGAGTGGAAACCACTTTGGCCAAATTTGTTGTTCTTCTTCTTATATTTATTTATTGGTTGAGGTGGGTGGGGGTTAAACTTAAAGGAGTCTCTATGGCCAAATTTGTTGGGAGTCCCAGGTAGTGTTTCAGAAAGCGCAAAGGGAAAGGACCAAAATAAAGAAGCAACACAATTTTCACGCATGGATTTAAAGAACATCAAAAAGGACTTGGCGGAGTCAATACTGGCCGAAGAAGAAAAAAAGGGAAACGGATCATTGGAACAACAACATTTCTTACCTTTCATGAACTGGCTGCATTCCATGCCATAGCCTGCAAACAAATAATGATCTCGAATAAAAAAGAGGACTAAGATTTATATCCCAAGGGGTTGGGGTTGGGGTTGGAGAGAGAGAGAGAGACCATGGCAAAGGAAAACAAGGGCCTTGGGAGAAGAAAAGGGCAGCCATCTGCAAGTAAGGAGCTGCACTCCTCTGGAGTTCCTCGTATGCTCCTAGTGTCATCCCAGAAAATTACTTCAAACCCGAGGAAACAACAATAATAGCTTGCAGATGATTCATTAAAAAAAAGAGAGAGAGAGAGAGAGAGAGAGAATGATGTGCATGGAATTAACAGAAACTAAAACACAATAATGACCCACCTCATGATATTCAAAATCCATCTCGTTACACATGGCAAGGACCAAAGCAGGCCGAAACTAAGAAACGGAACTCAATATGCCCACCATTTGATCTAGATCTATGAGAGTCGAAAGTCTAGGCAGAATTTTAAGGTGGAAATTGGTCGGGTCTCCAGGATTGGATGAGACGTGGGACTTTCTTTTAACTTGTATAGGATCTTTGGAGACGTGACAGGCGCCTGGTTAAGTTAATGGCCTTGGTTGCTTCCGTCAGAGACTCGGAAGGTTCCAAATTTTGCTGTGCTCGTTGTGGGCTGAGACAAGCCCATTCCATGTCCAGAACATTTTAGATACAGAAGAAGATGGATGCGCAATAATGGCAGTGAAAATACACTTTCAATCTAAACACTATCACAATTAAATATATTATACACGTGTAAAATTTACTCACATATCATTCATATAACGCATACACTGACAGTATATATAAAATTTACCCTCCTTAATATTAATATTAAGGGCAAGTTTGACAGGTGAAAGAACAAAAAAATTTTTGTGCCAACTACACATGTGACGATACTTATGGGACCAAGTAAAAGAAAGAACACGAATGATTGCTGCGTAATTAAGCAAATTAAAATGCGAAATAACTGAAAATCAAAGCGGTTGCAGTTTTGCAAATTTTGGAGAGAAATGTTTTGGATAGGAGACTATTTGAAATATTATTTCAAATGATTACTATATCACTTTTTTTTTGTAGCGTGATATATTTGAGATAAAAAAAAATGACTAAACAAAATAAAATGTATTGAAAAATATGTTTCTGAAACAAATAAATGACTTTTAGTTAGATAACTGCTACCCAAACAAACACATGAGTTGACGCTGTTAGCATTTCAGGCCATGGGAGCCCATTTCCGATTGTGGATTCCGGAGGGGTCGAAAGACGCTCATCGTGGATAGTTCGATGATTCATCACCATATGGGATGGGACTAGGGAGGCTTTCCATATTCATCTGCATTTTCTGGTTGTTGTTGCATAACCTCAGACTGTCTCCTCATACAGACACCATGAATCCATGTTATATTCCGACCCAAATCAAATTCCACACCAGTACAAATCCACAAATGTAAAAACCATGTCATGTCGTCACCGCCAACCGTGACACGGATTGGATGAATTTAGTCCAACCACAGTGCATCCGCCTTGATTTATCACTCAGTAGCAGGTTACAAAACTACTCCACACAACTCGTGTCTTTCAAAATCTAGCCTTCTAATCAGGGGCTGGTTTCCATCAAAACAAATCTACACTGGAAACAAATTCATTGTCTGTCTATACATGTTTCACCAGAATCAACTAAGGCCAGAGATGCTAACAAAATAACATAAAGAAGCACCCTTCCACCCAAATTCCCTCAAGAAGCCTGGAAAATACTAACAAACAAACACAGGTTTGAAATGTTCTCCTGACAGAATTAAGTTTGCCTAAGCTCATCTAATGACATCATGCACTCGCTCAATCTTTCTGCAAACAATGTGGTCTCATCTTGTTCGTTACTGTGGGCTTTATTGAGACCAGACATCTTAAAATCATGTGGCATCTTCAGCAGCGTAATACAAGGCACAAACAAGGCCAGAAACTCCAGCAGCCTGCTTCCAATTACGCGCACTAGCACCGATAACTGTCCCAGCTACAGCACCCGCAACTACAGGATTTACCTAGAGAAAGATTAGGTAACAAATCTCAGATGCTTACAAGACTCTTCTGTTCCATAGCATCATATCACATTTGAGGACATGCTCAAAGATCAAAATACACTCCATCTAGACTATCACATTCCAATTTCAATCTCAATGTATCACCTACAAGCATAAGTTGAATAATTATAAATTACGTCCAGGATTTTTGTCATCTGTTCCAGACATACAAATAGCAAACAAGAATAAGAATAATCCGATAAACATCTTTTGATGTAACTAAAAGAAGGAAACTTCATTACTCCTCAAAATCTGTGACCAATTGCCAGAAAATATTTAAAGAAAACTGTTTCTTGTTAGCCCCAGCCAGCTCATTATAAGTTACTCCATTTCTCATAATTCGAATCTGGGACAGTAATCAAAATCTTTCTGTTCCTCTTCGTGAAAAGAGAAGAAGAGAACAAGAGTTACAAGATTGTGCTGCAATACCTCCAATGGCAGTCTTAGCAGGGGTGAACAGTAGCACAGATAAGTTCGTGATGATAAATTCGACTCCCGCCAAAAAAAGATAACTAGTAGGCCCTTATTTTGTGCATGTACACGTGCCCGTGTATGTTTGTATATATATATATTTTTTAACTTCCTTCACTGCACATAGCTAATCCTGTGCTAAAATCATGCATATATTCTTAACAAGAAACAATGTTCTACTATTTTTGTTAAGAGACATTTGGCTTTGTGGAAGTATATGAACTTTCCAGATTTAGCAATTTATAATCCTCCCACAGTTTCATTATCAGAGAGTTGAATCTAGAAGTTTTTGAAACCTACAATAGCAGGATCCTAGCCCATTAAGAGGTGGACTTTTATTGGCTCTACAGTAAGCAGGTTGCATTATATGGGTAATTAGTAGATAACAATTAAAAAATTTGTTCATGTAATGGCCCTGAATGTAGTGTCAGGACACAAATGACCTTAGTAATTATGGATAGTAAGGAGTTACCTATAGCATGATCCCAATATGCTTTGGAATAAACCAACATGTAGAAGTGATTTGGAAACAACTAAATTATTATTATTCTCATTATTATTATTTTTAAGTCTCATGCATGCCTATAACACTTTCTTTACTGACATCACCTTTTACAAATTACAGGACATGAACCAGATATCCTACTGACAATAAGCTTCCCTCTAACATTAGTGGGTTAAATATTCCAATATCTTCTACAATTTAAGTTCCAAAGACAGTGATAGTGAAATGATAGGTTTCCTAAACTTTTCCCTTTAAGTTGGATATCTTGTGGACCTAACTTAAGTCACTAGAAAGGCTTTCCCACCTTTTCAGGATCAACTGCGCAAATCTTGCACAAATAGCTCTGGAAAGCTGATTCATGTTTCAAGATGAAAAGCTCCTTTTAGAGTGGGACAGAATTGCAAAATGTGGTATGAGGCATCACAGCAGAGAAGCTACACCTACTAATCAACTGGAAAATATCCATTAACTTGAAGACAAGTAAAAGAGTATAAAGAACTGAGCTAGTAGACTAACCCAATCATGTTGCCCGCGATATCTCTGTAGTCCACAGCGAGTAAATGATAAAACTGTAGCAAAGAGTCCTAGAATAGACAACAGTGAATCATGTTCACAAACAAGGTCTAAGGAGTATCATTTTGTATATCTAAATTCCACCATGGTGAATAACAAATTTTGTTGTAAAAAGAAAGACGAGAAGACTAAGCCAATAATCCAGAAGGAGACTGCATTCAGGGAAAGTAAATGTAAACAAGATTGACAACAAAACAATGTCAACCAGGGATAATTAATGGAAGTGAATGCAACGGAAAAGTAGTCTACAAAAGCACCAAGGTTAGAGAGGAAATGGACGATTTTAGTTGAGATATTGTCGCGAACAAAACCAGTCCAGGGTACATAGGTCATGGCAAAATTTGCGTAGGTACAAAACGCATTCCTGTCTTCATTTAAAACAGCATAAGAAACTGTAATTCTTCTTCACCATGGCAGCTCTATATTACCTTGAAGAAGATGGTAGAAGTTTACAGTGCGGCTCATGGTTCGCATAGAAGGTGAAAAGCATGATTGTCCAACCTTGTCTATTTCCTATACTTTTGCTTCAATTTCCATCTAGCCGTCCCTCGGTTACCCAGTTTACTGCTGCAAGCTTCTTAATACATGTACACTTGTTCTGTTCAAGTCCATGTGTTATTGGCCAAGAAGAAGTGCCATTTTTTAGCTGTTTCTCTAGTTGAAGAAAAAGGGTGTTTACCATCCGACTAATAGAGCGGTTCGTAGAAGTTGTAGTTCCACAAAATTAAAAATTTACGTGGTGTGAAAAACAAAAAATGAAGAAAGTTCACTGTGTGAAACATAAAAGAAAAAGAGACATTTACCCCATTGAATGCCATATCGACCCGCTGACTTAGCCTGCGCAATTTTTGCACAAGAAGAATTACTGGTTAGATTAGAACTTTTATGGTTGTAACATAAGATAGAAAGCAGTTGTGGGTTGGAATTACCACGAAAGATGCACGAGTAATGCCAGTTAGACCTAAACCAAGTAGACATGTAAAAAAAAGCTCAGCTAGTAATACTGGAACTCCATAACCGTAAAGTAAAGAAGATTCAGCACGGATTTGAGAATCACCTAATTTGGTAGCTTCGAGTGATCCTGTACAAGAACCCCAGATTAACCCAGCCTGCACCAGCCCAATTTAACCTCTTTTGTCAATAAAAAAAAAAAATAATCGCAGTAAGAATATATATACATACACACACAAGTAGAGGAGGACGGAGAAGCAGAGGGATGTTCCCTACGGTGCCTACGCGTAGGGCGGAGTCGACGGCGAAGGAAGAGCAGGGAACCTCACCGCCAATGTCTCCCTCCATTTCACTCCGACCTCAGCCTTCCAAATTTTGGCGGTGCATTTTGCAGAATACTTAGCAGTATCGTTAATCCCACGAGACCCCACATCAACAGCCCCAACCGAATGGCCCAAGTACCATAAACCTTTTTTGTTTTTTCGAAAGGCCCAAGTGTGACAACTGATTTACAGTTTCTTTTCTTTTTTTTTTAAACGCAAACGTTAGAACTGATTTACAGTTTCGAAGGAGCCTAAGAACGCCAAACTACAGTTATATTTTCCTTCCCCCCTCTAAAATATTAAAAGTAAGATTCAATATCATGTTGAACTTGAACGGATTTTTATTTCTGTTGAGCTTGAATAAAGATTTTGCAGCTGGGATTTTTTTTTTCCTATTTGAGCAACATTGAATCTTTATTGATCAGCAAGAAAAGTGTATTACAAAAGAATGTACTCATTTCAACCATGTTAGCACTATTACTATTTCACAAATATTTACACCTCAATCATCACTCGGCCAGAATAAACATCAGCCTTATAGGCTAGTGGCCACCACCAAATCCTCAAGTCTTGGTGGAGAGAGAGGTCAATCCTTATCTCCCATCAATTGTCGCAATATATGATTTTTTTAAAAAATTCAAACGAGTACGTAGTGCATTCGTCTGATTCGATGATGATTCAGTTTTCATCGATCCCATGCAAATTTAATTGGGCCTCCCATTGTATTGGAATAGGGTAGAATTATATAGTTATAGTGTAGATTGACCAAAAGTATGATTATATAGACATGGTGTGGATTGACCGAAAAAAAAAATAATCACTCGGTCAGAATACTCATCCATTGAAACAAACATGTGGATGAGGCAGCCCCAAACTGCAAAGCTACGTCCCAGTTTTGCTTTGTTAAAGGCACGCGTCTCCAGCTTCAGAGTCAAGGACAAATCCAAGAAAAGACCGTAAAATCTCCCAGTAGCATTACTTGTCACTCACACGTGTTTGAACTGCTATTGAAATTTAACAATTATCTCATCTTGAAAGGAAATGCAATTGGGTCCATTACTGGACTTTGCTTTCTTCATTTATTTAGGCATCCTGGTCTTTCCCAGTAATTGGCAACAAAAGTAGATGGGGAGCCCAGATGTCCACGATCCATAAATGAATGGCCCAGACAACTGACCTTATACAAAACCACGGCTTAGGCCCAGTATCAAAAATAGGTATCAAAGTCTAGGCCGAACCATTCCTATTTGACAACCCTAAACCCTATTATCCGTTTTGTTATTTTCATCCGAAATCTTTGAAGCACGCTTTTCCTCGTACAGAGGCGCCTACCGCCGCCGGTCGTCCGCCCAAGTTGACGCTCGGTAAGCTGCTGACGTCGCTCAATCTCTCCATCTTATTTCGAATATTGCTTTTAAAAATCAGGTAATTAGGATTTGTTGTCTTTGAGATCCGATGTATGGTTACTGATTAGTACTTATTTGGGAAAAAAAAGTTGCAGAGAAGAGAAAGAGAAGAAGTGAAAATGAGCAGAGTTGCAGGAGCAGCTGGAGCCAAAGGCGGGAAGAAAAAGGGGGCCACCTTCGTTATCGATTGCGGAAAGCCAGTCGAAGACAAGATCATGGAAATTGCGTCTCTGGAGAAATTCCTTCAGGAGAGAATTAAGGTCGGCGGCAAAGCCGGAGCCCTTGGCGACTCTGTCACCGTCAGCCGTGACAAGAGCAAGATTACCGTCACCTCTGACTCCGCCTTCTCCAAGAGGTATGCTTAACTACCCATTTCTACAGCGTTTCCCTTGTTGAAACGGTAATTTTGCCTTCGCCGCTCTTTGATACTTTGGAACGAAAAGCTTCATCGCTAATTTATTCCATTTTAGATATGTTTTTAGAAATTTTTTTCCTTGGAAGCTATTATTAACTAACACTGCTTGGCTGAAATTCAACATGTCCCCTTATTTCTGGTTCTTGGCATATGTGACTAGCGGGTCTTTGGAATACTCGGAACCCAGGCCTCTTTATGGTCGGAAATAGAATAAGTATGATGGCGAAACAGATCGCTGTTGTATTATAGTAATAAGTTTCTTTGGAGAGATTTATTTCAGGATTTTTTGTGTCATTTTTATGGTTCATGTTCCTGTAATTTGTTTGTTTTGCTTACCATAGGGTTATGATAATAGCCACATGTCGTTGTACACATAAAGGTTCTCGTGGGCTCTTGTTCTGCATGGTGTTGAAGTTTTTTAGCACAGGACGGCATGGAGTTCGCTTATGCATATACGTTATAGATAACGAATCGCTTGTGCTGTAGTTTTAGCTCTGTTACTTCTGTTTTCCAGGTATCTGAAGTACTTGACGAAGAAATACTTGAAGAAGCACAATGTGAGGGATTGGCTTCGGGTGATTGCTTCTAACAAAGACCGAAATGTTTACGAGCTGCGATACTTTAACATTGCCGAGGGTGAGGGCGAGGAAGAAGATTGAAGTTAGAATTGGATGGGATTTCATGTCTGTTTCTGGCCTTTGGCTCAACTATTTTGGAACCCTCTTTTTAGTTACTCTTGTAACCTTGCTACCTGTTGGAGTTATTGTCAGCTTAAAAGTTTTGTTTACTTGCAAAAGGGACATGTAATCTATGGCTTGGCTTTTCTCTAAGCATTAAAATTGAGAGTTGTGGTTATTCGGGTCTTTATATGGTATTATTGTCACTTTATCCTTGGCATTTTGGATATGTTGGTTGCATCTCATGTTAATCAATTTTGTAGTAATTGATGATTGTTGTCAACTTTCCTTGGAATAAGCTCTGAATTTAACATTTGTCAGTTGAATTTTTTTATGGGTGATACGGAATGCTGTTGTCTAGCTGAATATGTACATGTTTACCTGTCCTGGCTCAATCTGAGTACAGCTACATGCGGAGTTAGAGAAAAACGGGGATACGGTTAACCCGAGGAGTTGGGGCCAGTGGTAAGCGGCTGGTAATGCGAGCAGGATGACCAAGGTTCGATCCTCGCTGCGTTCCTGCGATAACTTCAGGGCCAGGCCTTCACCCTCGAGTAAGAGTCAAACTCTGCGGGCGCTCTTCGGGCCGAATCCAGATTAGTCCGAAAGGGATACCGGGTGGTTAGACCCAAAAAAAAAAAAAAGAAAAAAAGAAAAATAGGGATACGGTTGGGTGAGGGCATGATTGGTTTCAAGTCCACTTGAACAATGATGAAGTTTCCCTATGGTGGTTGTGTTTAGAAAGCGATAGAATTGAGGCTTCAATGGCTGAAGTGATGGATATAATACAAAAGTTCTGTCGTTACTAGTATACTAGTGTGAATATCCGTGCTACGCACGGTGCTGATATTATTGAAAAAAATAAAATGATGAATAAATAAAGGTGAAAAAATTGAACCAACAAAATTTAAATGTAATATGATTTGGACTAATTCTCATTTCGCTCTTTGCGTTTTAATTTTAACATATTTGACCTTGTTAAAAGTTCTGAAAAATTCCAAAGTAATTTCATAACTTCAGTTTCAGCATCTGCTCTCTATTTTCTTATTATTACGTTACAATTGGCATGCTGCCTGATAAACTAAAGAAATCAAATCTATGTGCTTAATGTCTATCCCATTAATTGTCAAATACCATTAATGTCTATCCCATTAATTACGTTACAATTAACATATTTGACCTTGTTAAAAGTTCTGAAAATTCCAAAGTAATTTCATAACTTCATTTTCAGCATCTGTTCTTTATTTTCTTATTATTAGGTTACAATTGGCATGTTGCTTGATATACTAAAGAAGTCAAATCTATGTGCTTAATGTCTATCCCATTAATTGTCAAATACCATTAATGTCTATCCCATTAATTACATTACAATTAATGGGATATATGGCAATTAATGGGACATTAAGTCTATTCAATTAAATTAAATGATTAACTTTTTTTTGTCCAACTTTACTTTGAAACAAAATCTATGTGCTATCGAGGACTTCATTTCAAAAAAAAAAAAAAACACCATCTGCCTTTTAAGACTGTTCTAATGCTTGCCGATATTGAAGAATTCAGAACTTGGAAGAAATAGCTAGTCATTTTGTCAATAGCATCTGCATTAGAACAGCCGACAGTTTCAAGCTGGATTCAAGCAAACCAAAAGGGTGCATTTCTAGATCAGGTATGCTCATAATTGTTATCACTCATTTTGTATCAATCTTAATGCAATAACTGCTACACTGGTATCTGAATTCTTTAGTCTCTTTTGATCCTCTTCACGTAAGAGTTATTGCTATGCAAGATGAATTTCCAACGTTTCCTGATGCTGTGTCTCGAGTTAAAGAAACATGAGATCAAGAAGGTTGTAATTTGACTTCCAAGTGAAGTTTAAATATGATTGAAAAAACAGGGCCTTCAAGTACACTGCCAAGCAGCTTTAATGAGCGAGGCTATCGCAGGCCTTAAAATGAGATTCCAGAAGATCACGTTGGTTAATTATTAGAGGTTTAACAGGCCTTACTCTGATGGTTCGAGTTTGCGTCTTATCATGAACAATAAGTACAACTAAACTTTACAATTTCGTTCTTCACACACATCGCTTCCACTTTCCATTTCGCTGAATTGCTGCTGTTTGAGTAGCAACAGCATGGTCGATGCATAAATCATGCCTTTAATGGGTCTTTTGGAGCATGTGCTTGTGATTTTGTATTTATACTTTATCCCACTATTGAGTATCTTTGCTTTACGGTGTAACAATAAGCAAACAACCGTTCATAGAATTTTGTAAAAAATTTTCAAAAATAATGGATGATCAGAAAATCAATACAATATCATTCATGACAAAAAGCAAAGCAAAAGCAAAACATACTTAAAAGGCAGAGGGGACCGACCTGAAAAATTAAGCCGGCAAGAATATACTTCCAGTTCTCCGCAAGAAGGTTTATTTCTGCTGAAGTCTCTGCCCATAATATCTTCCATTACTGCTCTCAAAAGAAACAAAATCAATAGAAAATAAAAAATAAATAAGAAATTGAGAGAGAGGATGAGGGAATTAACTCAATAAGTTAATTAAGTCGATCAGTAAAAGGGTTGGGAAAAAATTATAGACATTATATTATTGGAAATAATCAAAAATAAAAAAAAATAT